GGTAATGTTGAAATCTCACTTTGTTATTTTTTTAAAGAAAAAGAGCGACTGTGCTCGGACGGCCGCACAAACCAGCAGTGTGTGAGAGGGAAAGTGTTATCAGGGGAGTATTTGTGAAGGAGATATTTAGGTATTTGCGGGTGTTGAGGCTACTTGTACTGACGTGTGTGTGTGTGTGTAGAAAGAAACAGAGCAGTGTTTCAGCAGAAACACAATTTTCTGTAGAAAAATTCTGTAGGAAATTCTTTGCATATCTTTTTTCTCAATATGCACACACACACACACACACACACACACACACACACACACACACACACACACACACACACACATTTTTGAAAAGGTAAGCAGACCAGCCACCCACTAAGACTGTGTGTAACTCAATAAGTGTTATTTTCCAAAGAGACCACAAATCCAAAAGCATTGTGCTCCAAGTCTCAGTGACTACGTGATGGGCTGTGGTGGGTGAGGGGGCTCAGTGGGCTGCGGCTGCTTCGGCCTCTGCTGCGGACTTAAGTTATTTCAGGTTAGTCTGGCCGCCCATGTATTGACGTGTCTCCACTTCCAGAAGCGATGGAGCCACAGAATTGAGCTCCTGCCAATACGCTCCCGAAGGACCGACCATGAGCTGCCTTTTGAACCAGAGGATCAATCAGCTAACGGCTCTCACCTGCGCTGACTGATCCTCCAGGTGAAGGTGCTCTCCCAGCTGCCTCCACACCATCTGATTAAACATTTATTAAACAGGAACTTCTTTTTTGTTTGGTCCCTGTCCCATCTGCTAACACGGAGGAGGCAGGGCAGCGGAGAATGGACTGAATAACTGCAGCTGATATATTTGTGATATGCTCTCTTATGTCTGTTACAACATGTTAAAAACATCGCACATGTATTTCCCTGAAACAGTTTGACAGATGTTTCATGTAAAAATTCATGTTCAACAGATTCTAGAAACAATCTGAAGAAGAAAAGTGAATAGAACCGAAGCTACTTGTGTTTTTTGTAATTTGGGTGAAATAACTTTTCAATGGTGAAGTTGTAAAGTTGTATTTTCCTGTGTGTTAAAGAATCAGCATGAAACTGTGAAGCTTCCTCCTTCCTGTCAAGTATTGCTCCGACCTCCGGGATTTCAGACTCAGCAGAGTAAGAATGTGATTTGAGCTCGTCAGTGATGACATGCCAACCTGAGTGAGCGTGTGTGTGTATGTCTGTGTGTGTGTGTGCGTCACAGCTGTGTGTTAGTAGCATGTGTCAGCTCCTGCTCACAGGTCGACCCTCACATCCGCAGGGAAACCTTCAGACTGCTGACAAATGGTTTTGAGCTCACAGAGGTAGTGTGTGCATGTGAACACGTATATGTATATGTACACGCGTGTGTGTGGGTCATAGTGTAAGAGAGATCACAGTCTCTTACCTGTCTGACAAACTCGTGTCTGCCTGTCTGATCACATGTGTTTCATATATACACACTCATGCTGAAGCAGTTTGCTTCTATTATCCCACTGAAATGTTGAATTCCTCAGTTTGCACACACACACACACACACACACACACACACACACACACACACACACACACACACACACACACACTTGTAGTATGTCTAGAAGTGTGTTTTCCAGTTTGACATGTTGTGAAATACTCATTGGTCTGCCAAGGACGTTGTGTTCAGCCCTTGTCTGTTTATCTGATTGTTGGTTGGTGTGTTTGATTTCTGAACCTCGACTCGGACTTGGGCCAAGAACAAACATTTTTGTTGTGGATTAAATCTCAAATCTCACCTGGCAGATTTGACATTTATCAATCTGCATGTGTGTGTGTGTGTGCTCCTCCTCACCTTTTTGGTGCCCTCTCCCTCCATCTCAGGGGTGCTCGGTGCCGGAGCCCAAAGCATGCTGGGAGCGATGCAGACAGACAGGTTGAAGGCATTCATCTGGTTGTCGTGGGCGTTGCCTTGGATACAGTGCAGTATGGCCATCACGTGTCGCAGCAGAAGCAGGTTCTCGCCAGGTAGGAGGTGGAGCAACCTGAGAGAGGGAGCGATGAAGAAACGGAAGAAAGAGAGAGGAAGAGGATGGTGAACGACTGGTTCCTGTGTGTGTGTGTGTGTGTGTGTGTGTGTGTGTTGCCGTGTCACTTCCTGCTCTCTGGCTTCACAGGAATTTCTCCTCTCACATTCTCATTGTTTCTTTCACATTACTTGTTTTTTATTTTCCTAAGCAAAAGGAATTTTGTTTGTTGATGTTGGATGTGAAGCTATGTGCCCCCTCTCGTTCTCCGTCTTTCTCTGTGCAGATGTAAACAGTGTGTAATTGAAGGAAGAACCAACAGAGTGCCACATTGAGGCGTTGAGCCTCCCCAACATGTCTTCAGGTCTTTTCCTTTAATTTGTCACAGATCTGCATAATGAACGCCTGTGTGATTTTGCTGCAGCAGTTAATTGGCACCAAATAAGATGTTTTTGAATTAAGGATTTGAAGGGAGCGTGTCTAGTACCTCTGGACAGCCTGCGTCGTCTCCTCCCCTCCGTCCCCCTCCATCACATCCATCCACCGCTCGTACAGATCCACACACAACAAGCTGCCTGGGATATTTCGCAGGAAGTCCTGTGTGGAGAAATAAATTAAAGTGATAAGTACCACTAAAGAAATGTGCCGTGTTACAGCAACAACAGGGATCATAAAAGTGTCACTCAGTAATAAATAAGAAAGTTAAAAAACACTGGGAAATGTATCTATATATCTATATACACACACAAATCCTGAATGAGATTTTCATTTGCTCGTAATATATCAAATATACTATCATAGTATTATCATCTGTTTCAATGAATTAGACACATACAGCGTGATGCCCATTAAACAAAACTTTAGTCTCAGGTGGAGCAACCATCCGTGTCCACTCTGCAGAAAACAGGTTAAAGATGAATGACCTGAGTAAAATTATAAAAAAACTCCGGGCTGTTCTCAGGATGCTCCGCGCTGCAGCCACCGCTCGGCCTGGATGTTGAACAATGCTGCACCTTGTGTGTGTGACTGGCAGAATGCCTGGTGCACTGACAGATTATCCTGTCTGCACTAATGTGACTTTGGATGCACATCAGTCGCTCCTGCTTTCTGTTGTCTGGCTTCAAACGAGTGAGACAGAGCAGACCTGTGTGTGTGTGTGTGTGTGTGTGTGTGTGTGTGTGTGAGTGTGAGTGTGTGTTACCTTGAAGACGGCGGCAATGATGAACACAGACTGGTGTGATATCTCTGGGTCCTCAGTCCCAGTGTCCAGTCTGTCTCGAAGCTCCCGACAGGCTTTGGCCCCGGCCGACCGTCTGAAGACGCCCCGGGTGTAGGGCCCCTCCAGATACAGGAACACCAACATGTCCTGGAAGAAACGATGGAATTAAAGTCTTTGTTAATAGAGTCTCTTCATATTATTCTATTTATCACCAGGACAAAAACATATCTCTTCAGCATGTCTGTTGCAGACAAAAGCTCCCAAGCCTCCCAGTGCTACACACTGTAGACCCCAAACCATCCTCCAGACAGGTTCCTGACCTCCTCCTGCTCATGGTGCACATGACCTCTGCAGGACTCACCATGACAGGCTTGGGCAGGCCGTGGTCTGCAGAGCAGATGGAGCTCAGGGGTCGTCCGAACAGTCGCCCCTGAGTGGGAGAGGTGGAGGTCGGGGACAGGGGCAGGCCGTCCAGCTGTGTGCTGGAGCCTTTCCAAAAAGGCCAGTTGATCAGAGACCTCTTCCTCTTAAAAGTCTTCTGCTGTCCGGGCTCTGCAGGAGGAAGAGGAAGAGCTATTAGAGGTGATTCACCAAACCAGCATTACCACAGGCCGAGCAAACCGGCAGGTTTAGAACGAGCACTGCAACAGTCTTTATAGAAGAAGGAGCAGCCACAGGGAGCAGTTAGACGAAGAGCACACCTCCAGCTTCTCAGAGTTATCAGCTCAATAGATTGATGGAATTCACAAAAGTTAGTTTTGCTGCCCCCCAGAATTCAGCGACCTGTAGCATTAAACTGGATGTTTGCTGTGAACACCAGTAACTACAGGTGTCACCACTGAAAACTGCAAGATCACTGCTTAAAGGTGAGAGAGAGAAAGACGCACTGTGTAACACAGAGACACCAAAGAATCTGTGATTGAGAGAAACATATGCAGACATGCCCTCACGCTCCAGAGAACCACTTAAATTGAAGAGTGTGTCTCTGTTTATCCGTGTGTGTGTGTGTGTGTGAATTATGTATGGGACCCTCTGTGTGTTGAGGCTTACGACTGTCGAGCGCTCAGCTGGGTCAAGTCACAATGTCAACCTGTGTTGTCGTCTGTCTACGGGTGTGTCTTCAATGTGTCTGCATGTTCTCTGTGACATAACAGCTCAGCGTGTTCCTGCAGTTATGAAACCATGTACTGTGTGTGCACTGACATGTATGATGATTAAAAGTACAGCAAACTTTTCCATTTTATCTCATCCTCAAATGACAGCAGCACGATTTTAAAACCTGTGGGATCAACTTGCAGCATGGTGGCTTTCTACTTCAAGTTGACAGTTGATTCATTCGATAAAGGACAGTGATTTTTTAGTAATTAAGGTTAACTATTGAGTGAAATACCAAATCTTTGCTGGTTGTAGCATCTGAAAATGTATTTTTTTTGATAAATTGGCTAAAACAAGCTATTTAAAAATAATTAATCAAACTATAATGTCACTCAGCAGAGCTCAGACATCCACCGCATCCTTCCAAGTTTCAGAAATCTGTAGGATGTTATTGTGTTATCTGACTTACAAACAAACCGGGGGTGAAAACACAACCTCTTTGGCAGAGCTACTACAGAGTGATGCATCTGCTCTGACACATCTGTCAAAACCTTTGTCATCAGTATATTTGGAAGCTGCAGTAAATCTTTCAACAACCACAGTAAATTTAATTGTGGCAACTTTATTTTGCCAGCGATCTTGAGATGACATCGAGATGACATCATTGATAACACAAGCGATTGTGATTTATATCCGAGGGCGGTTCTCTCCAAACGAACGAGGAATTCTTTCTGTGGGTGGAGGACGCACTCGTCCAAAAAGGGCCCCAAAAAAACTCCGCGGCATGCCTTTCGTAGAATCCATTATTTAACGATCTGCCGTGGCGTCTTGCCCAAATACTCTCTGGAGCAAAGTTCAACAGTTACAGAATTTCTGGCGTGCTCTGGCACTTCTCAGCAGGCCTCGCCATCATTGAAACAACATGACCTCGCTGTAGATCAGGCGTTACATCATTACAGCGCTCTGGTGAGGAAGAGCTTTAGAGACGGGGAGTGAAACGAAGACGGACCACAAATAATCTTCTGCAGGCAGATTACAAAACAGGTGCTGGATGCTGTGTTTTTCTTCATAAGGATCAGGTTCCACTATGTGAGCGTTTTTTTGTTGCGGACAAATGATTTTAGATGGAACTGATAAAAATGTTTTTTGAACTGCATGCAGGTAGAATGTGTTTAAATAAGTGTCTCATAAACTCTAGAGCAAATCAAACGAACTGGAAGTAAACATCAGGTCCTGTACGTGATTAGTGTTGGTGTTCATCGTTAACGTGTAAAGTAGAAACCCACACATTCGTTAGCTCTCGGGTTTGGGTGTGAACCATTAGGCCTCTACGGTGGCGGCGCTGGTATGGAGTGATTATGTAAGGCGCTGTTGCGCTTGAGGCAAAGGAATCTGAGGCGAAGCTTGTGGTTGGCAAACTGGAGCCTCCTCGACTGGAAAACACACACTTTTCCTCCTCGACTTGTTTTCCTCTAAACCTCATCTCCTCCTTTTTCCATCTGTTTCTCTGTATCTGCAGCTCGTCATCACGCCTGTCCTCCGTCCTCCTGTTTTCATCCCTCCCCCTCCTCTTCTCGTTTCTGAGGTTCCCCTTTTTTCTGCCTGTCCCTGTAAATTCCTCATTCTCCATCTGTTATAGTCCGTTGTTTCTTTTTCCTTCACCTCTTTTGACCCTTCAGACTTACTCAATAGCTGTGTCACCTCTCTTCACTTTCCATCTTCCTATTCTCACACTCATCACGCTCTTCCCTTCTGGGGTTTCTTCCTCTTCATCTGTCTATTGTTTTTCTTATTTTGATACAGCGTCTGTCCTAACCCCTGCTGTAACCCCTTGTCCGCTAAGAACTCCTTTCCCACCATTCTCAATGTCTCTTTTCCTTTTCGCTGCTGTTTCATCCTGAGCACTAACAACAACTGACTGTATGTGAAACAAATTTGGAGGAAACATGTCGTGCATCCTTCTTTGTCTTCCTGTGGTTTCACAGGGGTAAATTTACAGATACATCCTTGACAATGGCCAAACAAGTGCTTGGAAACCTTAACTTGTTTAAAACCCAGCAAGAGTCATTTTTTACTTCGAATGAGAACAAATAACTTTTGGTTTGGAAACAGTTCAATAAATAAGTTTCAGAAAACACCTTAATTTCCCTCTTACTGCTTTAACAGCACCAGAATGAATCCACTGACTGTTTAACATTAAACATGCTACAGACTTTCCCATTGAATTTCAAGGGTTCAAGTCACCCACATATTAAACTGCCCTTGATTCTGAAATAAACACATCTTGTTCTGAGGAGTAATCGACCCCCAAAGTGTTGTCATGCATCTCCATGAAAAGGTAGTTGGACCTTAAATCCAGTCTTACCGAGAAGTTGAGCCTGTCCTGGGGCGACTTTGCTCGGTTTGAGGATGAACTGGCACTGGGTGTCGGGCGGAAGACACTGGTCCAGCAGTAGCACCCCTGGACAGTCTGTGGGACTCGTTGGATCCCGCCCACCTCCGAATCCTCCGCCGTTGCTCCCACCATCCCGGATGTGGCTCATCTTGATGCTAAAGGGAAACTCGTGGCCTGCGTGAGAGGTCAGGGTGCAGAGGTCAGAGGGTCTGGAATTTGCAGTCTGCGCATATCACATGGAGTCGAACTAAAGGTCTGATCTTATGGGGCAGAACTAGCGTTAAAATCAGCAAATCCAAAATTAAGGATGTTTAAATTTCAAAGAATTATGGAAAGGAAATGTCACAGAAGACCAAGGTGACAGAAACGCTTCAAGATGGGAAGTGTTTTGTGCTTGTTCAGCAGTTTATTGATATTCTCTGCTATAGCTACGACTAGTTTTCTAAAATGCCATGAGACAAATGAGGAAGGATGTTTTTGGTTTAACTTTATTCTTTAATTACAAGCATGTTGTATGGAGAAAAGGGAAAAGACTGAAGGGAACAGACTATGGTCCCATAATAAGTCTGTTATAAATAGTAATGTGCATCAAACCAGACAGGTGGGCTCACCGATCAGAGGGTATGGAGGGTCGTCTTTACTGGAGCTCACCCACAACCGGTGGTCTTTAACGCAACCCTAGAAAAAGAAAAAGGGAATTGTGTTAAAAGAATCACATCAGTGAACATTAGATGTTAATTTCAGTATTTTGTATTTAGATATGGTGACATGAAAAATTGATGATATAAAATCTAAAATACTCAACAAGTACCAATGGTCTTAACTCACCGATATGCCAAACTGCTGCAGAGCCATTCGGATGACATCAGTGGTGCTGTCGTTGTTGCTGACAGCGAGCGTCTTGGCCTGAAGACAACAAGTGGTTTGTGTGTTAATAAGTGACAACACAAACTGTGCTAATGTCTGTTGATGAACGCATTAAAGAGGAAACAAGAGAAACTTACATAAGCACAATTTCCAATATCCTTTGCGAATATCTTGACTGGTATGGTCTTAGGGTCGTCCTTCTCTTTACCCTCGATAATCCGGCTAAAAGACAAAAACAAAGGAGGTTTGGTTGAGCAGTTGAATGTGCCATCATATCAGCTGATTCATCTTAGCTGTAAACCTGTATTCATTGATTCAAATCTCATAAATTCATCCCATAACTCTCACTGGCCGCTTGTTTATTCATTCACTCTGTGTAAACTAAATTACTTTGCTTTTATTAAATCACGTCTGCTGCATCCGATCTTTTGTGGCCTGCAAATTGAAGAAATCTAATTTGCTAAATAAATGGATTAAATCACAAAAACAAGTCAGGCTTAACTGAGCATTTACCTTTTGATGAGTGCCAACCACTTGTTCTTGTGCTCCTCAGAGCTGCAGAGGACAGAAAGAGATGAAGCACAATCAGAGGAAATTCGTTTTTTAAAGCAGCTGTCTGTTTTCTCTCTTTATGTAACTATGGGTAAAAACCACAGAGGTTGCCCTTAGCTATGGATTTCTATTAGTGGAGTCCAGGTTGCAGTTTGTAATAAGGCTGTAAATAGAAGAATGATTGGTGTTTTCCATCGAGGCAGGAACATATATACAAATTGAGGTATTTGCATGTGTGCTGCGTGTTTGTGCCTGTTGTGCGTCTGTGGTTGTCAACTCTACTGCCGGTGGTTCAATCCTTTTGCGCTTGAGGCCTCATAGATTTTGTGATTGCATGTTCAGTTTTTAGTTTGCTTCTATAATACACGTCTGCACCACAGGACATGGTGTTCACTTTGAGATTTACACGTGGCTCAGTCAGGAATTTTAGAAATATGTTTGGTGTGCTGGGTATGAATGACATGCAATGCAAGTGGATGCATGAATTAGACTAAAACTAAATTGCATTGAATGTCTAGTTTTTAAGTATTATAATCATCTAGGAAAATTTAAACTAAAGCAAATGTTCCTGCGATGCGTGCATGCGTATTTGTGTGTAAGTGTGTGAGCATGTGTGTACCTGAAGGTGGCTGCACAGTTGTAGGTGGGCCAACCCATGACAAAGCTGCTCTCTGTGTTAGTGCTTCCTTCACACACCACCTCCAAACAGTTGGCCGTCCACATCTCACACACCCGGACTTGGGCTTTCACTTTGAAATGAGTCGGAGACCTGCAAAAGAAAAGAGTGTGCAACGGGTAAATCAGTTATCATTTAAAAAACGACCTAAAGTTAATAGACTTCTATTTGTGCTCTAGAAACCCTGGAACATATTATGTAAAAAGCTGACCAAAAAAAAATGAAAGGTCCCTTATAAAGGAGTTCCCCAAGGAACGTACTTAGATCCTCTTAACTTCCAATCTGAGTTAGTTTTCGTCAAATAATAGCTTCTATAAACCACTAACATGAGGCGAACTTTTAAAAACACTCAATATAGAAGCGAAATATTAAAAGTCAGAGGTTAAACACAGGCAGGCTCACTACATATGTGATTATAGAGGGATAAACCCCAAACGCACACGTGGAATCCACACACACATATGAAGGCACAAAAACGCACACAAAAAAATGAACGTCTTCTCCGTCTCTCTCACATGCCAACACACATTCCTCCTACTCACCCTGTGTTCAGCCGCAATGTAATAAAACCAATTATAGCTTATGCTCTGTGCTGGAAGGGTCAGCTCCGCCCACTGGCACATGACTACCAGGACAGACCACAGAGGTCTCGCTGTGTCTGCACTCAGGGGTGTGTGTGTACAGTAAGCACATAAGTGCACAGAGCAGAAGTTTGTTTCCGTCGCTACATGCCCATGTGTTCATATGTGTGCATTCGTGCATGTGTGTGTGTGTGTGTGTTTGCGGACTTCAAAAACCTCAGCATGCTTTTCAAGTGACTATTTTTGAAAGTGTGTGCAGTTTGTGGGTGGGGAGGCCCATACTGTAGGCCCGAGTCAGGCCAGTGGAGCTTTGATCCGAGCCAGGCTTCATATGGATTTAATTGGCTGGGAAATAATTATATAGTGGAGAAAAATGGGGGAGGGAGGAATGAAAGGAGCAGTGGAGTCAGGGAGGAAGAATGGAGGGAACGATTGAGAAGCTCAAGACGAGTCTCCATCTTCCACATATTGTTTGTGAAACTGGGCGCAGCAGTCGAAATGTTGCGTCTGGGTTTCTGAAATTTGTCCCTCGTTTTATTCCTGTTTACGTCTCTCTGTCTCCATTTTCCTTCTCACTCACACAGCCACAAAAACATACACTTGCTTCTTCTCTCTGTCATTTCAGAAGACACGCAAAGGAGCACTTACTTGGCCTTGGCGACGAGTAGCGTGTCCGTGAAGAGGAAGAGGTGCCTCTCCTGAGTCTGCAGGCCCGTCTTTAGCTGCGCCTGGGCGTGTCCCAGGAATAGGCGGCCTGGACACTCAGCCAGGAAGGCCTGGACGAGGGGACACGACTCTGGGCTTACTGGCGTCAGGCAGCTTTCCCTGGGGCCAAAACAATCCAGAGTCAAACACACAACACAAAGAATCAAATACTCTATTGATCCCCAGAGGAGGTATTTGTGGTTTGGAAGTGTTTGGAGGCATTTCTCTGATCAACAGGTTTGAAACCGCAGCATTTGGCTCAAATTCTCTCACTCCCTTCAACTGTCATTTAGCAAAGCACTGGGCCCCTGAATGCATCAAAGCAGCTGACAGAAGAATGGACGCCTGAAAGTGCAGGAATTGATTGTGAGAATATGAAATCACTCAGGAAGCTTGATTCATTCCAGTGGTTTCACAGTTGCTGCATTTGAACTAAAGGGGATTTTCCAAACTCCTCCAGCTTTGGGGAATAACGGCACATCGGCGAGGATGTAGGTAACAAAACATGACGTGGATGTTGTTGAACCTAATTTGAAAAAGTCTGTGAAAAAACTAGCTTCTGCAGTTGGAAGACAAAGTGCAAAACTGGAACATGCTCCTCATTATTTACTGCATTTCTTCTCCTGATTCCTTACACTCAATTCCACACACATAAAATAAGCTGCTTTCAATAAAATAAATGTTGGACCCTTGGTGCAATAGTTTGGCTACAAATAACGTTGGTTGGACAAAGCTGTTAGACATTATTTTGAATGTGCACAAAGACGGCTCTATCAAGTCAAACAGTTGGAAAAGTCAGAGTCCATTTTATTCTGCAACTTTTCATCAAGATCCATGAATTATTATCAGAGAAAAAAGTGAAAAGTGCTAAAACTAATTCCTGGATCCACCTCCTGATCTAGATCTGCACCAAAACGTGATGGGTTCTTCCCTGACCAGCATCACGTCCGTCCACCAGGTCTCGTGAGAATCAAATCAATTGCTTTTGTGTGATCTTGCTTACAAACAAACAAACCAACGGACAAAGGGAAAGGGATGAAAACATAACCTCCTCTGCAGAGGTCACGAATCGTTCATCCGAAAAACTCGTCTGTTACATCATCTATTCCGTCTCTTCAGTTTTAATTTGAAGCTTCTATCTTGCATCTCTGCTGTCAATATGTCCCGCTGATGGACAGATGTAAACTGTGGGGAACTTTTAGAGGAAGAGGAAATAGTTTGAGAGCTTTCCTGTTTACGCTTCTCTACCAGATAAAAGACCGAGATTTCTACTTAAACACACTTTATATCTCCGTCCCTGCCTCTTTCATGTACACAAACATTCACACACTCTCACGCATGTACACACCCACTTTTTAACATACTTCTCTTACAAATGCACATCCTAGGACGCACCCATACGCACCCACACGCACAAAAACACAGTTGACCCTTTCCACAAAGAAGAAGTAGTCCAACTCTTGCTGGAAGGACACAGAAGTTCAAATTCGCTCTCCGTCCAGCGACATTGCGTAAGTAACTGGTTATGCAATTATTAACAAAGAACAGACGACTACGCTGGAGTGCTTCCCTTCTTTCGTCCGTCTTTGTGTGCCATCCAAAAATAAATCCAAGGGCCGCTGAGTGAATTCAATTAAAAGCGATGAATGTAGCCAATTAAGCTCTGAGGCCCCGTGGGATAGAAAGAGTGGGAAAATGAAGATGAAGGACGGGTTGAGAGGAATACATCCGTTTCATTTTTCTCGGGTCAACAATACTTTACTTTATCAAGACATGATATGACAACATGTTGCTTTAACGATGACAAAGTTTCTTGCTGCAAAACAATCTGCCATTGTTCCCAGAACAGAAAAAAAATACTTTCCATGTGGTTTTACTGTGAAATGAGTTTTTACCCCCCCTTTGAAAACATTTACACAACCACCAGCCCACTACTCTAAATCAAGCATTTCTTTATTACTGCGTCAAAGAGATGGAGGCTGCAACATGTAAATCTTAATTTTCAGTGTCAACTCTTGCAGCTTGAAGTCATTTGGGGACATGACTCTATGTACCGACCCCCCCCCCCGCTTTTTCTCCAAATTTTGTCTCCAAAGAACTAATAAAGTTCAAAATGAGTTTTCTCCGGAGTCTTTGATATGTGACTAATTCCGCATCAAAGCTCAGCTCCTATTGGATTTCTCAACATGGCAGTGGCTGCTCTCTTGATGTCGGGCCACAGGACGCCGCAGGACAGCAGGGGTGAGAGACCACATGCAAACGGGACGAGGGGAGGATTTTTTTTGGGGGGGGGGGGGGGGTTCTTTGTTAAATTGCAGCAGGATTATAATCATTACAGAGCAAAAGTTTGAGAAACACATCCTCGTCTGTTCAATGCTCCTGTCAGAGGAGGCCACACACACACACACACACACACACACACATGGACAAACCTTGCTGTAAAGACCCTTTCACATCTCGCTGCCCCAAAAAAGGCGTCATGTTCCGTATTCGCCGCACACCCCTCGCTCCTGAATGTGAGATTGACAGCCGGGCCGGCCGCCCTTTGGGTCTGATGGATGAGCGGCTAATGGCTCCATTGTGCATCATGTGATGTTGATAAATCGAGTGGTCGGCCCGCCCTCGCATACATGGCCACCTTTGTCGAGGAACTGCTCTGTGCCGAGAACTGTTGACTTTTTGAAACACAATGAGAACCCGGTGTAGAAAAGACGCACACAACACTGCATACTAATGTCCCCGCATGAATATGTAAGTGGCACCAGGGAAGATTTGGATTTAAAGCATGATGTCAAAATCCAGAATGAAGTAAAAGAATTCGAAAACAACCTGTGTGATTCACTCAGTTGTTAAGTGTCGGAGGCCGGGACGGGACAGACGAGTAAAGTTTTAGTCACGGACACAAGCATGATCCGACAGGTGTAAGTACGATAAACCCCGAGGACAACAGCTGGATAAACAGCTGTAACTTTCTCTTTCTTCTTCCCTGGGTTTTTTCTTCTTCCCAAACATGTTCCACTTTTCCCTCAGTCCATTTCTGTGTCGCTCTCACTTTCTTCTTCTGCATCAAGCTCCTTTTCCTGAGTTTCAGCGATGTTTTTACAGATCAATACCTTAATAAACTCACTCACTGACATCATTTTATTCAACACATCACACCGCCACACTGTTGCACAGCGACGTGTTCAGTCTCTGTGTAACGTCACCTCCGCTGTCAACCCTCTCCGACCCCCACCGAGCAGACGGACTCCCTCAGGGCAGCCGTGACACACTCTTATATAACACTGCACATCTGCTCAGCTTTATAATCAACCGCACAAATGTCCCTGTGAGTGTTTGTGTGTGTGTGTGTGTGTGTGTGTGTGTGTGTGTGTTAATGTGAGTTTCTATATCGTCTGTATCATCAGCTCTTCACTTTTTTTCAGTCCATAAAGGAGAAGTGGCCAGGGGCTATCGGCCGTGATATCCTCAGCAGATCTCATTAGGAAACTTCTTTTGCATGAAATGTGAGTGAGCGCGCTCATGTATTTGTCGTTGTGTTCAGGGACCTTGGAACAACCAGAGAAACACACTGATATCCTGACGAGTATATTAAAACAAACACGTGTCCGTCTACTGAGGTGTCAGATAAATGGACTGAGATGTTGCTGTAGTGTGTGCACATGAGTGAATGACGTGTGTGTGTGCTGTGTCAGATGGTTTTTGGATTTGTGTGTGTGTCACACTCTTTATGGTACAGTCACCTTCCTCCCTGCAGTGTAGGTTTCATTGCCTGTGGGCGGGGTGGGGGGGATTCATTCTCCAGTTTAATACCCTGCACTGTGAGATGAGGTTATACTTCTGGATGAGTGTGTGCGTGTGTGTGTGTGTGTGTGT